TGGGTGTCATCTGCGTACTGATGAAACTCCACCCCGAAACCACGGATGATCTCACCCAGTGGCTTCATATAAATGTTGAACAGGAGAGGCGAGAGGACCGACCCCTGTGGTACCCCACAAGTGAGGCGCCTCGAGGTTGACCTCTGCCCCCCTGCCAACACAAATTGTGTCTGGTCCGAGAGGTAGGAGGAGAACCACCGTAAAACGGTTCCCCCCAACCCCAACCCCCCTAACCGGTGCAACAAGATACCATGGTCGATGGTATCAAAAGCCGCTGAGAGGTCTAGCAGGACCAGGATAGAGGAACACCCTCTATCCCGAGCCCTCCAGAGATCATCAACCAACACGACCAATGCCGTTTCCGTGCTGTGCCCAGGCCGGAAGCCGGACTGGTGCGAGTCTAGATAGACAGTTTCTTCCAGGTGCTGAGGGAGCTGTCGTGCCACCACACTCTCAACAACCTTCGCAAGAAAGCAAAGGTTGGAGACAGGCCGGTAGTTGGCCAAAGCAGCCGGGTCCAGGGAGGGCTTCTTGAGGAGGGGCATCACCACCGCCTCTTTCAAGGCGGCCGGCAAGAACCCCTCACTCAAAGAAGCGTTGACGATTCCCTGGAGCCAGCCTCGTGTAACCTCCTTATAATGTAAGGGGGACCATTTCCATATCCTGTATAGTAGAGAAGCAATGAAAGTGGAAGGGAGCTTGAAGGTCATCTACACCAACTCTTCACTCGGGGCCAAATCTACAGTGCAGAATTCAGTTATAGCTATCATAAGAGACCAACATCCCCCTCTGTTTAAATACCGGCAAGATAGGATAAGCCACTTTCTATCCCAGTCAATTCTTTGGTCATGGCACTTGCTGTTACCTTTCCAAATAATTGGAGGGCACAAACTCATCTCCAGATTTGATGTTTCTCACCCACATGCTTTTTGTTTTTGAGTGGGCTGGGGGTGCTTCTGTGAATCTGTTCAGAGCAATTCCTCTTTCTTGGTATTCAACTATTGCAACATGATTTAATGAAAAAAGTATTGGCAGAAACTGTGCACATTATGGCAGTGGAGATTAACATGTACTTCTGGTATGCTGTTACATAATTTTGGGGAAGTGAAAGCTAGTCTATCCATTGGCAAAAGTGAACGATGACAAGTTGTGTATCAATCATGCATGCTTGAAAGTTTGATCAACAAGTCTATTAAAAAGAAGGACTAGAGGTGACATGATAGCAGTGGTCCAATATCTCGGGCTGCCACAAAGAAGAGAGAGGTCCACTTATTTTCCAAAGCACCAGAAAGCAAAACAAGAAGCAATGGATGGAAACTAATCAAAGAGAGAACCAACCTAGAACTAGATAGATAGATAGATAGATAGATAGATAGATAGATAGATAGATAGATAGATAGACAGACAGACAGACAGACAGACAGACAGACAGACAGACAGACAGATAACCTTTACTGTCATTTTGTATTGTATGCACATTGGCACACATTAAAAATGAAATTTAGTTTCTTGCTCTCAGGTGTACACATACATAACACACATTTAAACATGCTCTATACAAAATATGTATAAACCTACATCCTTACGTATAAATAACATGTAAATATTAATCACTGTCCATCCTGAAGGAGGAAGCTTTAG